AGAAAGATATTTACCTGTGCTTTATTGAATAAGCAAAGGCTTTTGATTGTGTGGATCATGACAGGCTGTGGACTGAATTATAAGTATTCTGGAGCACTTAATTGTGCTCAAGAGGTATCTGTACCTGGACAAAGAGGCAGTTATTTGACTAGAACATGGGAACAGTGAATGTTTTAAAATTAAGAAAGGTGTGCGACAGGGTTGTATTCTTTCACCATACTTATTCAACCTGTGTGCCGAGCAAATAATCCGAGAAGCTGAGTTATATAAAACATGGCATCAGGATTGGAGGAAGACTCATTAAAAACCTGTGATACCCTTGCTGAAAGTGAAGCGGACTTAAAACATTTACTAATGAAGATCAAAGAGCACAGCCTTTGGTATGGTTTGGCGGTGGCAGAGCAGAGTCAGGTAGGACAGCCTCCATGGGGGAGGTGCTGAAAACATGGCTCTCAGGAAACTGCACCAGAGCTCTGGATCTAGCATAAGGGTCAGATTGTCAGTTTCCCGCAACCCCCAGTGGAAAAATCATGCTATGAAGGAAAACATTGCGTTTTAGAAATTGCACAAGGCACAGGACTCCCTCTGTGGCCATCCCACCAGGGCGGAAGTCAGAGGGCGGGGCTGCAGCCAGACCAGCACAGGAAACTGGTGCTATAAGTAGCAGAGTGACATTTGCAAATGGAGGTGTGGAGGGATTCTACAAGTTTTTTTTCCTCCTCTTCCCTGTTGTGCCTTCTTTGCCCCTCCAGGATGCCTTCAGGTGGGTGGTTACGAACCTCCCCCCAAAAGTCCAGCACTGAGACCACAGCTTTCCCACAGCACAGAAAGAAAGAGTCCCATCTGTCCAAGGGCAAATCCTTTGGCTGCTGCTTTGACTTCTGCCTGTGGGTCCCATCCTTAAAGTTAACTTGTGCAGGACCATTAACCCCTGCCTACCCAGAAAGAAAAAAGGCAGGTTTGGCCTGACAGACAAACCATATGAACAATCTGTAAAACCCCAACATAAAAAGATGCAACTATTTCAAGAATTATGCTGTGCACATACAGATACTTAACTGACCTTCAGAGACAAAAATAGTAAATAATCTTTCTCCCATTAACTTCTCAATATCTATCTGCACA